GATTAGACCAATTACTGTAGTAATACAGAGACTGAAGCATCTGGATTAATGATTCGTTTTATACACGGTTAGTAAAATTTCATTTTAACCAACACGAAAATTATTATATCAATGTGGTATAACAGGAATTTTACAGAAAAATGTAAAGAATAATAATCATGTCTTAGTTTGTAGAGTAAATCTAACTTTAAATATCAGTGCTATATTGTTCACTTTTTAAATGGTTTGTCCAAACTTTTGAGAGGCAACAATCAATAATGCAAAACTACACTAAGACTAAGTGCTCCCCCTGTTAGACTATAAGTAGTTGATTTGCAAATTGACTGCATTTTACAAACTCTCTTGTTAAAATGGTAATGTCATTAAACCAAGCCACGCTGTTTGGGCAAAGTTCATGCAAAAATATTTTTATTATAATAATAAACTAGAATAAATATGTATTAAGTCATTTTAGTGTGTTTATTGTAAAGAAAAAGCACAGCATTTCAAAATAAAAGAAAATGACCCACAAGTGCAGCATATATTTGATGTTGTGGCGCCCCTCATCTATGGTGTCTATCAGCTGCCCTTTTATGGGTAATTCATTTATCTGTTTCACTCTCATCGTTCAAAATTCCAGCTATTGTTTTACCTAAAACACAGTATATATTTATTTCCTATATACAGAATAAATACATGACATGAATAATGGAAAAACACTGTCGCAGTTTATGAACAGTACGTCAGGGTCCCGGCCTCAAACCCTGAAGTATTGAGTTGTTCACCCTCAATGATGTCATTAATTATTTCAGCTGCTCAGTGTCTCCATCCATCACCTGCTGGATGTTTCTGTCATTGTCTCTCATTCACTCCCTTAGTCTTGCTGTTGACTTTTCATTCTTCACTCTGTTAAATTACCGCACATAAGCAGTCATTCCTCCAAACGGACAACAGCTGCAGGCTTAAACTGTCAAGCTGAGCAGAGAGAAAATCTTATAAACACACCTTCGAGTCAAAAGTTTGCCCACGCCTGCCTTAGGCAGTTAGCAATGCCATGCTGGTGTGATGTAAAAAACCCACTTGGGTTGGACAGTCCCTACAGGAAATCAAAATTGACGCAAAACAGTGCACTGCTGCATTTTTGTGCAAAGAAGCTGTAAAGTCTTCTGAAGCAAAAAGGAAATAAAATAAACCGATAGAAACGTGTAAAATCCAGAATCTGTGGTTGTATGGAGGTGCAGTCGATTTTGTGACTGACCTGCTTGATGTTGGGTTTTAAGAACTCGGAATTCAACAACAATCACAGGCCTCATTCTGCACAAATGAGAGATGCGTGGCTTCACAGGACTACAGGAATGGGCAAAATAATCCTCTGTTGTTAAGTAAAATAAAAGTGATACAAAGGGAAACTTATTTTCTAATGGCCTGCAGACAAAAGTTTCTTTGTATTTTGCTTAAATTGATTGAGTTTGTCAGTAACGTTTTTACTCCATCCAGTTGGCTCAAAAAGTCTTGAGTGTTTTAATACATCATAAATTTTAATTTCAGTTTTAAGTTATTAATATTATTATTAATAATATATTTGTAATAATAATATTTGTTGTATTTTTTATAATAATAATAATATGTATTTATTTTTACAGAACAAAGCACTAACAGAGTAAATGGATTGCGAATTTCCACTGTGAATATTGTGTATATTTTACATACAGTATGCACTTTGTGTAAAATGTGGATTTCGCTGCATTTCCTCCAATGTCTGTGAATCTCATGTTAGCAGACTGATGTGGAATGTATGCTAATACCATGAGTTTGGTGAAGCCGGGGCCATGGGGGATGTTGTTTGTTGTTTTTGCAGCTACTCCACAATAAATCAAAATCAAATTAGGATTCTGACCTGATGGTGGTGCTAGAGGAAAAGTCAGGGGATCAATTAATTACAAGGATTCACCATGATTGGGACCTGAGGGTGTGAATTATCCTTCAAGCCATCAGATAAGAAGGCAGAGACAGATCACTGCGTGCTGATATCTGTTTGCCAACTCAAAGGTGCAAACGTGGAGATGTTTCAGTGGATGTTTAACCTGTCGTTGCCTTTCTTACTGTTTAGCGTTATTTTTGTATATTTAAAGCATTTGTAGAAATGAACAACAAAGAGCAGAGACATGTTCTATTTAAAATATTTTCCAACGGAGAAGACTGTGTGTCCTCTATGTTTGGATGTCACTGTTTCCATCCAACAGTGAAATATTAATGATCAAAACAGCTTTTCCTGGAAATAACAGGACCGGTGAAAGCATAAAGTGCAATCATGTCTTAGATCCAAGTTGAGCTCCCAGACACACACACACACACACACATAGTGAAAGAGAGTAAAGCTAGACCCTGGTAAGTGAACACTTGTTGTGTTCCTGTATTATTGATGACTGCAGACTGAAGGGCAGGCTGAAAGGTGTGCACACAGTGATGTAGAAAACGAGAACAGCTAAACACAACAAGGAGAAGGCAATAACCCGAGAGTTCCCTTCACTCGTTACTGCTGCATTAATGCAAAGCATTCATTTTTTAAAATTTGTGCAAAAACTGCTTCAAGTATAAAATCCAAAGCCAGTGTAAACATGACTGAATGAGTCTGTGTCTTTTTCAGGTGGTGTCAACTGGTGTCTGATTCTATGCACAGTTAAAAAAAATCCACACAAATTGAAAACCGTTTTACTTTATTTCTCTACATATATGTTTTTTTAAGAAGTGAGCAGTGTTTCCATCTATGTTTTTCTGATCGTATTTGTAGAATTCTTGGGAATGTCTTGGGAAAATAATATGACATATGTCAAAGCTGTTTGGGATGCATCGGTGTTACGATGGGTGAGTATTAGTTGCCATGGTTTTAAAGATCTGCGTTCATATTACTCAACAGGATTATTTAAAACTCCTAACATTTAGGATTGTGCTGCAGGAATCCATTTCCAAATGGTTCCATTAAAAAACCAATCTAATTAACTTGGCCACGTAGAAACACTGAAAGTAGAAGTATCAGTTTTACTGTAGGTATATTTTGGGTGAATGGAGGGAAAGCATCTTAAAATAGTACAGGGTTTATTGTTTAATTAACCAATACCTGTCTGTGTGTTATTAATAAAATGAAATCCCAAGACTGTTGATATTCATGCCTACAGATGAATGAATGTCATCCTATCTTGTTGTGGACTCAGAATACTTCAATGAAAAGTTCTCACTTTCTCTCTGTGCCCTGGAGGTTCAATTACTTTCAGATTGGTTCCAACAGACCTGTGATGTCACCAGAGAGTCGTACATGTCTTGAATTTGGATTTTATTGATCTTTTTTAAACTTTTTTGACAGGGACAACTTCTATTTTTAGCCTTTTACCATTAAAAAAAAAGATGTGTCGTACACTGAGCGCCATAACCATCTTGTCACAGGTTTTCCAAAAAATAAATTGCAAATAATACAAGCATGCATCAAGACAGACAAAACCTTAGATAAGAGATAATCATAATAATATTTGACAAGAGTAAATAATGGAAATAATATGAAATAATATTACAATGACATGTATGAGTGTGGACAAACAGACTTATCTAAACTAGTGTCCTGATGTTAAATATATGGACTGTGTTTATAATTGGAGGACAGAAACTCGACTTTTTCAGCAGGTATATGGTTAAACGAACCAGTCTTCAGGTTAAGGACACCATAGGTATTTACACACATAGTACAGTGTCCAGGTATTTGCCCCTACCTGGACATTGATGCTCATGTTTTTTAGTTTGACGTCACTCTGAGTCTGAATCCATCTGCGCTCATCCTCTCATGGTCACCATGCTCTGCAGAGTCTATTTGAAGCCCCCACACTGCTTTTGCCCCCCCCCCCCACCTACACCCGTTGCCCTGACATCATCATGACTAGTCATGGTTTTAAATCTCGTCTGTTGCTCCCACTGATGATATTATCAACGTCATTGTCCAAATAAAAATAACCAAAGTGTGCACGTTACATAACTTCCATGAAGCACTCTCTCCTGCAGCTTTTGCAGGATTCTGCAGAATTGAATAGAACATACAGCCAGTACACTGCTTTACAAAAACATGATCTGTTGTTTATTGTTGTTGTTGTCAATGTGAGTCTTACACAAAACATTAAAATATGACATTTGACCAGAGACAGATTTGATAGACTATGAGTTTACAGTCCAAGTCTAAGGGTGGATCTGGGTCCCAGGTGTGTTTACTGTACATTATGAATAGTTTGTTATTCATCACTACACTGATCCTGATGTTCTACTACAAAGACCAACTGGTTTGAGCGAATGGAACTGTAGCCTCTCAACCACCATGTTATCATCACAGAAATAATAGCTGTTTTTCTTCTCTCTTTTTTTTCAGTGATATATAGTGCTCTGGAGATTTGTACACAACCTGCTCAGCCCTGCTTCCTGATAGAAAAATATGACAATAACTCTAAAAGAAATCCAGTGACAGTTCTTTTCTTTTCTTCATTCGATCTCATCCGTGCTCATAATCACTTAAGCAGGAAGAAAGTGCAGAAGGCCCCCCGGGGACAGTCGCACATCTTGCCGATACGTGCGCCTTTTCTCACGGCGCACTGCTCTCCAACATCACACTGTGGGAGGTGAGAGAGAGAGAAACGATAAACGGATGGATTAACACCCACCACCTGCTGCTGCTGCTGCTGCTACAAAACACATCAATACATCCTCTCCAAATCCTGCATACTGTATATGTAATACTGTATATATGCGCGTGTGCAGTACCATTGGGACTTGTCCAAATTTCTTTTCCCACAGAGGCAGGCGCTTAGTCTGCAGCTTTTCAAGGACTTCTTGGAGAGCTCCGAGCTGCGCATGCAGAAAAAAACAATAACAAAGAGATCATTAATTTAATTTGGCATTTTTATAAAGTTTTCAACCAACAAGAGAAAGTTGATCTCAAATAGTAGCTATACATATATATTTAACAATCTAATTATGAAAAAAAAACATTTAGTCCACCTCCTGGAGTTTAGATATATTTCTTTAAAATGTATTAATAATACACAGAACACAGTAAAGCCAAATGTACATTAAAGGATCTTCATATGATCATTTGTCTCTTACCAGCTCTTTCTCATTGGTTAGGTTCGGACCTTTGGGGTAGAAGTCTCTGAGGGCTCTGGGGCTCAGCTCCTCCTCAGACTCGGAGTCCATGCCCTGGAATCCACTGGCACTGGAGAGCAGCAGCAGTGCGCACAGGAGCGCACCGCTGATCAGCTTGGAGCTCTGCATGGTCCTGACGCGCGGCAGCATGTGGAGACGTCCTGTCCTCGTCTTAAATGTGTCTCCTCCGCGTTAAACTCCTTTTTATCTGACTCCTTCTATCTGCTCGCCCCACCTTATCCTTTGATTTTTTTCTCTCCCCCTCTTTGTCATGCGTAACAGGCGCCTTGGGTGAGTCATCCCGTAAAAGTTGCTGGGCAAACTCTGTCTCCAAAAGTAAACACCAACTGCAGCCGCATGCAGCTGCAGGGGGCGTTACAGAGGAAGAGGTGGATGAAGTTTTCATGAGCATGGGAAATAAATGCTAGATCATTTCAACACATTCGTCTCCGACACTCAACGATTAATTTCATTGACTTTTTTATTATACTTTAATCACTCCAGAAATCTTATTAGACATAATTCGGCTTCTGCAGCGTCTAAAAAAAACCCCATGGCTTTATTTGTATTCCAACGCTTTTAGTGCAGACGCTGCTGCTTTCACTTTTGGTGACGCATGACATTGAAAACCAAACAGCTCTAACATTAAACATCCTTGACATTTTCTGATGACTTATGCGGGAGTTATAAGTGAAGTACGCAGTAGTACTAAGAAAACACAAAAGAAAAGAAAAGAAAAGAAAACATAAGCTGCAGCATTGTGAATTTAATTAAAGAAATAAATCCAGTCTTCCATTCTTAATCGTCAAAGACAGGTAATTGGTTTTCTGTTGAACATTAAGACACTGTTACCCCGTCTTGTTTGTTTTTATTCATATTTTTTTATGCAAGTTTACAGGTGAATTAAACCAACATGTGGCAGTAATACAGCTTGAAGCAGAGGTCTCCAAACTTTGGTTCTCCAAACGGCTCCTTTTACAAAATAAAAATGGCTACTCGTGTTGTGTAACATTTATTTCCACAGCTCAGTTCAAACAAACTCAATAAGCTTTCTTTGCCTTTCACACTGTGCGGTAGCGAACTTAGCTTTAGCTTTAGTTACATAGATATTAAACTGTTACAAAATTATAAACGTTGAGATATATACTTTTTTAAAATCAGTATTATCATTAGTTATCATTATTTTATTTTATTTTTTTATTTGTTTTTCTACTATCGAAAGACACCGTTCCACAACGGTGGGGTAGCGGAGTGACATGTTTTATCATCGGTCTGTTTTATGATTCGATTATATTAAGAAATGCGGTCGATTGTTTAGATTTTAGCGCTGTTGTCTGTACTTCAGGCCCTCTGTTGACGTAAGCGAGCAATTGCACTCATCAACGTTTTGGCGGGAAATAATTTAGTGCAATAGCGCTTTTCAGACAGCAGCCACCTGGGTGTCAAATCCCAGGATATAGCTGGTCCTTGTTCTAATTGGACTGTCTCCAGCTTCCACAGCAACATGAATGAATTACAGTAGTGAGTCTATTCAGTGTGAGTACTGTGTTTGTGGAGATGGATCAATACGCAAAAGTATTTTATGAGTAGTATTTATACCACAGAATCACACCACCGTAGTTAAAGCCTTACATAACTCTGGAGAAGCTTTTGTTGACACTCCAAGTGAACAGACAGTGTTTTGGCTTCTGTGCTGGGTTTATCCTGCTCTGCCACATCGATCGCTTGTTTGAGAGCTGACTCTTCCAATCACAGTTTAGACAATGGAGGAGGTTGGAGGAGCAGGAAGCTTTGAGCTTGTGCTAGAGGCTGCATGAGTCACATCTCTCTCCTCCACATTTAATGACTGAGATTCCATTTTAACATTTCATTCACAACAATCAGCCTTTTTGTTTCATTCACAGTCACGGGTTCATTTGTCTCTGACAGTCCACTGGCCACGGTCCTGTTGAAGGAACTTCTCAGTTCTCCTCTGTTTGTTTAGGGGACATATTGAGGATGTGATGTGATTCAGCTTGATCTAACACAGACTGTTCGTATCTACTGAGCTGTCGCAACTCATCTTTTTCTCCAGTTCCCTTTAATCCAGCAGTCACAGAATTTTATTCTTTTAGCCAGAGACAAAAAAAGAACAAAAGTAAGTTTAAATGGTCGTATCTGTACAGTTTTAACTTTTTTTGTTTTCACACACCCTAACGTCAGGTTTGTTAATAGACGCTGTAATGATATGGGGTTGTATGGGCTCAGTCATTTCCTGCTCCCTATTCCTTACATAGGGAATTATATACAGTGCACTGTAGAGTGAACTCACTGATTAAATGAAAAACAGTTTCGTACACTACTTCAGCACGCGGTTATTACTTAATTACTGTTGCACAATTAAAACAGATGTTGCTCCTCTCTCCGCCATCATGACATCATCACGCCTGCAATGCATGATGGGATATATTGATTGGGTAGTGGCCATCGGATGTACACTAGATTTTGCGGTGAATGGTGGGATACATACTGTATATATGGTGGACAACTACTCATTAATCATTCAGACACCAGTACAAAATAGTGTGCACCCTACGTAGTTCACTATGTAGGATATAGGGGGCGGTCTCTGACGCAGCCGTGGTGTCTTTTCTCTGTGTTGTTACACACCCCCCCCCCCCCCCCACCCCCCCCCCCCCCCACCCCCCCCCCCCCCCCCCAATCAAATAAGTGCTCACCAATTCAAGCTTGGATTAATAAAGCACTGCGTGACTAACTCACCTGCAGGATGAGCTTGTTAAGACCTCATATAGATCACTACGGTCACTGCTGAGGAGAAAAACACAACTCTTCCATAAAAGGTTCCTGGACACGTTGTGTTGTGGTGATAACAGAGGAGGACAGTCCTGGTTCAGCTCTCCTATTGTGTTCGCTTGGTTTCCTTTCCACTGACTGTAGCAGCTTATGACTGTCATTATTTTTATGCTCAGCAAACCCTGCAGTGATCCCCTGGGTTTTAAATGAAAACATCTGCATTTGTTTGCTGTCTCTTCAGCGTCAGGCTGCAGTGATGTTGCAAAATGCACTCATGCTTTTTTTTGTTTGATTTATGTATTTTAACTATATGCAAACTTTTTTATCTATATAAAAATATTTCTTATCTTTGAGACAGGTTTTTTGTAAATGAAACTCCTCTAGATTTAGAAATGATAATAGCCAAGAAGAAAAATTGTGTTATACTATATAACATACCTGCAGTTTAATTCTTAATCCCCTTAACCTTTGACCTCTGTACTTGTACTCGTTTCAATCAGCTTCACACATTGTTTCTGTTCGTCCAGTGTCTGATCTTCAGTCCTTCTCCCAGGTTCTCCACCCATTGGCTCACTTGTCCCCGCCCCCTTCTTCCACCTGTCTGTCTCCTGTGTTTCCCTCCACAGTAATGACTTCATCTTCTCACCTGTTGACTGTTAACTCCTCCCAGGTCTGCCACTTCTTCTCTTTAGTTTTCAGTGAATCTGATGACTCTCGACGTGTTTTCGACCACAGCCTGTTTTTCCGTCCTTCAGTTGGCCTAGTATCTTTGTACCTCGGTGGTTCTGGTCCAGTGTTGTTAATTAGAGAGTCCATTTGAGTCCATCCTTTGAACCTGACACATATTGTCCGTTGTTGGAGCTGCACTTAAGTGAATAAAAAGTGAGTACATCTTTGTTTTCTACTTTTATCAGGTCACTTCCTGCAAGTGTTTATTTATTTCACTCATACATTATTACTAAACTGTAAACTGAGTCCTTTTTCCGCAATGTTCCAATAGCGTTTAATCGCAGTGTGTGTGCGCATACGTTTGTGTCTTCATTACTAAATTAAATGTCACCATCTCATTCTATTCATAACATTCCTCCAGCTCTATTACAAAAACCGGTGTCACTCATACCGCAAGGAAAAGAGCTTACTTTTCAGGAACCAAAATAGACAACTCGATTTACGTGTGTGTCTAAATGTGCGCTCATGTCATGTCGAAACAGATCGACAGGCATGAGTTAAAAAGGGAACGTTCTACCACATTTGTCAAAAGTGAGATAATGACTGAACGGTTTTAGTTATTTACTGTCATACCTTTTTTTTTTAAAGCTCAGGTACTTTGACTAACCTGCTGCATTTCTACTTTATTTGCCAAATTCAACTTGGACTTTCTCTACTGCTGGGTTTCTTTCCCTTAAAAGACCAAGGAGTGGTTAAATTAGTGTAAAGGGGAGAGAGGAGCAGATCAGAGAAGGAGAGAAGAACGGACTAGTAGAGCAGAAATCCATCTGCAGAGTGCTGCCTTAATTGATCACATTCCTACAACTGTCACTGAGCTGTCTCGTTAGCAGACGCTTCCTTTCCGGAAAAGTAACACGTATGCAGGTTTGCAGAGATGGAAAAGGAGGAAGAGGGGAAAATAGGTTGACATGTGGGCAACCGTTCCCCTCTCTCTCTTTTTGCTGTTGTCACCGACACGTACACCACCCCAGTGTGAGTGAATCCTGACAGGAAATATTGTACCAGCCAACTCTGAAAGTAAGAACTACTGTGATCAAGAACTAATACCAGCCGTGACTCATAACTAATACATGTGTCTTTGGTTCACCACCTTTCAGTACGATACAAATGCCTGGTTAATGAGGATCATTACTGTACTATTGTCGGCCATGCACGGTATAAAATTATCATTTGAAACCAGGGACCGGCTCCGGGGGTTTGAACCCACCAGCTGCTGTCACAACTAATCTTACGACTGAATGAGTCATCCATGTGACTGCTGTATCTGTAGAAGCTTTCATGTGTCGTTTCTCATTTTTCCTCATTCAGAGATTGTGCACTTTTACTGTGTCACGTTAATAAACCCATACAAAGTACTTGGACGGTCAATACAGGGAGAGATGAATTCAGGGAACGATTGGCTGGGGAAGCAAAAAAAAAAAAAAGAAGATGCAACCTAGCACCATGACCCCTGAACTTTTGTGTGCCTGCTAACTTGGTTTACAGTGGACTTGGTCATTGTCAATGTCAATTTGATATACCACCATGGTGGATCTGATTGTCACCAGTGTCTCAGGGTCCTGAGGGTCTCACAGAATAACACCCTGTATCTTTGTGTGGTGGATGGTGAATCTATAATTATCCGGAAAATGACAGTAGAAATGAAAACAGTGGGAGAAGGGTGGGTTTTCTTGCCTTTCAGTGTTGACATCATCAGTCTGAGCCCTGCTGGTACCTCTTTTGTGGGATTTCTCTTAGTACTCTCACTTCCCTCCATAATCCAAAACCATGAAGGATTGTGTT